TCAAAATGCATCTTCAAATGAAAATTGAAAATTTTATGAACAAACGCTGATTTCGAAAAAAAAGTGATTTTTTTGTGGAAAAAAGAAAAAAATTTCTTATGTCCAAACGGGCTCTAAAAATAGATTTTCACTTTTACTTGTCACTTTTCGCATATCAAGAGAAGACAATTTCTTTTTTTCTGTTATACTCATAGTATTAATTACTCATTTCAAATCATTTTTTCAAATCCACTAAAAATATGTATCAATTAATATGGGTATTATGGTAAATTATGCACTTCATTTATTATTTCTTAAGGAGTGTTCAAAGTCCATAGTAGACAAGTAAAAGTGAATGGAGAGAGTAATAAATTACACCTACTTTCTTGGAAATACCAGTTGAGACATACGTAGAACTTTTGCTAATTTTTTCTTATTTTTTCTTAATTATATTATATTTGTGTGTGATATGGGCAGAAGGGGTTGGTAAGAAGGATCTTGTCCCCATCAGCAACTTACAATATTTTAGGGAAGACAAATAATAATTTTCTGCATTTCCTAAATTTTTGTAATTTCACTTTTCATTTGTTTATTATTTGATTATTCATCAATATTAAATTATGCAGATTTAGTACTCACATTCAATTGTTTATTTACAAATTTTTTTAATTTTTTTCTTTATGGTCTTTCTCGATGCCTTCAAACATACAAATAGACCCCAATGGTGAGTCAGAAATTTTATCTTCTTTTTATATATATAATTTAATCACCAATTATTCATTTATGATACTGATTTTTCATGTAATTACCAACAGCACCAATGTATTACAATGGAGTCTATCATCTATTCTACCAGTACAATCCAAAAGGATCAACAATGAACAACATTGTTTGGGCTCATTCAGTCTCAAAAGACTTAATCAATTGGATTAATTTAGAGCCTGCAATTTATCCATCCAAACCATTTGACAAATATGGAACATGGTCTGGTTCAGCAACTATTCTCCCTGGTAACAAGCCCATTATTTTGTACACTGGAGTGGTAGATGCCAACATGACCCAAGTCCAAAATTACGCCGTCCCGGCCAACTTATCCGATCCATATCTCCGTGAATGGAACAAGCCCGATAACAACCCGTTGATCGTCCCGGATATCAGCATCACCAAGACCCAATTTCGTGACCCGACAACAGCTTGGATGGGCAAAGATGGTCATTGGAGAATTGTGGTAGGAAGTTCAAGAAACCGTGGTGGGTTGGCAATATTGTATAGAAGTAGGAATTTCATGAAATGGATCAAGGCTGAGCATCCACTTCATTCATCTGCCAAAACAGGAAATTGGGAATGCCCAGATTTTTTTCCTGTTTCCTTGCAAGGTTCTAATGGTTTAGATGCATCGTACAACGGAAAATATGTTAAGTACGTTCTCAAGAATAGCCTTCCTGTTGCCGCGTTTGAGTACTACACAATTGGTACATATGATGCCAAACAAGATAGGTATATTCCAGATAACACTTCAGTCGATGGTTGGAAAGGATTGAGACTTGACTATGGCATTTTCTACGCGTCTAAGTCGTTCTACGACCCTAGTAAGGACCGAAGAATCGTGTGGGGTTGGTCTTATGAATTAGATGGTCTCCCCAATAATGAAAACAACAAAGGATGGGCTGGAATTCAGGCTATCCCGCGTAAAGTATGGCTTGATTTCAGTGGTAAACAATTAGTTCAATGGCCTATTGAAGAATTAAAAACTCTAAGAAAGCAAAATGTCCGATTGAGCAACAAAAGGCTGGATAATGGAGAAAAGATTGAAGTTAAAGGAATCACAGCGTCGCAGGTTTAGACTTTTTTCTAGTTTTTAATTTGCAAGCATTTTAAATAAAATTTTCTTCACAAGTTAAGGCTAAGTTGGGACATCTATTGAAATTGCCAGGCTGATGTTGAAGTGACATTCTCCTTCTCTAGCTTAGACAAGGCAGAGCCATTTGATCCTAGTTGGGCTGATCTTTATGCACAAGATGTTTGTGCAATTAAGGGTTCAACTGTTCCAGGTGGGCTTGGGCCATTTGGCCTTGCAACATTGGCTTCTCAAAACTTAGAAGAATACACACCTGTTTTTTTCAGAGTGTTCAAAGCTCAAGAAAATTTTAAGGTTCTTATGTGCTCTGACGCCACAAGGTTTGTTTTCTTAGAACTCCATCCCTACACCTCCTAAAAGAGAATAATTTTTATCTAAGCTACTCGGACTCTCTGAAAATACCGTCTTCCAAAAGTAGTGTATTTTTGAAAGATCCAACACAGGTATGGCAGCATTTTGGAGGGTCCGCGCAACATAGCTCTTGGTTCACCCAAAACTATAACTATGGCGTTTAACCAAATATAGTTTATCAATAAAACTGAACATCAACACAACTTAAAATCTCTAGAAATCAACTAACCTCATAATTCACCTTTATTGACAGGTCTACCACTCAACATTATAATGCAATGTGCAAACCCTCATTTGCTGGATATGTAGATGTGGACTTAGTGGACAAAAAGTTATCTCTTAGGAGTTTGGTAAATTTTGTTTCAGCATCTTTTAGTGAATGTGCTCTATATCTACTCTCTCTTTTAACTCTTTTTGTTAATTTTCCACTATGTATATGCTTGCAGATTGATAACTCAGTAGTGGAAAGTTTTGGTGCTGGTGGCAAATTATGCATAACATCAAGGGCTTATCCAACATTAGCAATTCACGACAAAGCACATTTATTTGCCTTCAACAATGGTACAGAGATGATCACAATCGAGACTCTAGATGCCTGGAGCATGGATACACCTAAAATAAACTAAAAAGTTGTGAGAAATAAACTTGGGAAAAATAAATAAACAAATAGATAGATTGATTGATAGATAGAGAGACCTTTTCCCAGGCATTTGATAAAGTAGGATCTACAAGTCCTAAAGAACTTATCAAGAAAAGACGAAGTTTCTATAGAATTTATCACTATAGTATCTTTGTACAGATTATTGTTCTAAATTAATGAGAAGAATATATTATTCTTCAAAATAAAGCATATTTGCTTTCTTATTAAATTGTGCATTTACCGAAATTATAAACTATTTTGGTATTAAGAAATAAAAAAAAAAATGGAATCTCATATTACGAAAGGAAGGTTGTGTCCTATAACAAGAAAGAAAAAGAAAATAACAGGAAAGGCAAATCAAACATAATGGAATTAGTAAAACACCCCTCCAATTTGCAAGAGCCTACCTTGAAGTTTCCGAATTTGCAAAGCCCACCTCATCTAAAATTTTATGCTACATGATTAAGGTCACGTAAATTGTAAAACCTCAGTGAAGACTTTGTGTTCCTGAACTTCTCCTCATAATGAAAAACATCACCTTTCTTCTAAATTGAATGCTAATTACATTTAGATCATCAAAGAATTATTTCCCTATTTTTTCCCTTTCTCTCCTTTTGGGTACTTTCTCATAGTCGGTTAAGTTGGAGAAATCCTAGAATTTCCCTAGAATTATAAATAAAATTTATCCTTTGGCTTTAATTCTTAACACTCAAAAAATCATTATGATGGTTACTAGTTGATGATGTTTACCTACCTTGGATAGCATACCACAGTTTCTAATAAGTTAATTTACGACATAAGAAAAGATGAAGCTATTGCTCATAATAACCATTGCTACCTGTGCTCTTTTTTAGATATCATAGCATTCAAATCAACTTGAATGTATCTCAGCTATTTTTCTAAGTATTTGTATCCTTCCTCATAAAGGTATCAAATAACTCCTCATTGAAAAAAGGTATCAAATACCTTGTACTTGCATGTTGCTCAACTATTGCACCAAGTATTTGTATCCTTCCTAGTAAGGTACCAAATAACTCTAACCAAGGCTAGGGCGGCGAAAAAATTAACTGACTTTTTTGCACCATCCAAGTTACAAAGGATCAAAAACCATGCTCATTGATATCTCCTCTCCTTGGCCTGATCAGAGTTACTCATTCGGCCTGATCAGAGATATTAATGATCACAGCAATCAGAAGGCAAATAAAAACCAACAAAGTACTGCCACTGTCCCTTCAGATACACTGGGTTACTTTCTTTCAATTGCCTCATGAAATGAAAATAGAAAATAAAGGCACCAGTAGAATAAAGAACCTATTGATGCAACAAGGCTCCATTGGCAGAAGCATAGGGCTCTGTCACCGCAAAAAAAACCACAGATTTAGCAGGATTCCCCTCACATGTGAACAGATTATATAAGATTGAAGTGGTAGTCCAAATTAGATTTTCCAATATCAAGAAAAACAGCAATCAATGACAAAGTTGAAACGTGAACTATGCCTTAATATTTCTTTCCAATGTTGGGACTGAAAATAGAGAACAGTCAGATAACATCAAGAGATAAAGCACTAAATAAATCATTGAAGACAAGACAGTAAATTTCAACATCCAACTCAACTCCTCTACAACTTAACTCTTTTAGAACAGAAAAACAGGAATCACTCCTTTAGAGTTAAAGAAGGACTGCAAGTTATATCTTAAGACAGCACGCACAGAAGTCATCTGGTGGTTAATGTCAATCAATCAACAAGTGTAGCAGTTGAAATGCATCAATGGTCAAGAAAGTAAACAACGATATGATTGATAGAGATTTTAACTTGACAGGGAAACTACAAGATATAAATGGTGATTAAGACCATTGCCAATTATAGTAGCTTTGAGGGAGGAGCCACAGAATCTTCACTGTGGTAATCACTCAGTTTGAAAAGTGACTAATTATTTGTACCATGAAAATGTAAATATGTGATCAAACGATCAAATCAAATAACTGGCAATTACCCAGTGAAATGCATCAGATGTGAACTATGCAAGGGACCATGTGATTGATGGAGATAAAGACACTTCAACTAGGAAGGCAACTGCTTGAAGAAGCCTCATGACAAGACGCGCTTACTAAGGTGGATCTGAAAGATGAACTGCCAAACCTTGATTGCAGTTAAAAGAACATGTTCATGGTGTCAAGTCCTTGATGAAAATCTTTACATGGATGGCCGGAGGCTACATGTCCATGAACATACAAATAAGAACTTGGCTCCCTGCTATGGGCCTAGCAAACTGGTTAACAAAGAACGTGCAGAGAAATTAACCCAAATACGAAGCTCACTCAAGCCAACTGTTGAATTATTCAACAATCGAGGATCAAGCAATACCAATCTAGGTATTAATAGCTTCAACCAATATCATAGCTACTTTAATTTGGTCAAACTATAGTTTGAACTCTCAATTCTCTTTCTTTCGGTCATCTTACCCCTAGTTCAACCATCTAGGTTACCTAAACCATGGGTAACCCAACTCGTTCATTATCAAATAAATTCCAAGTTACTCATACCATTATTTCATCCAAACATGGATTATTCCATTCATTACCACCATTCGATTAACTCTTGGTTCTTAATTCTTCAATTCTATAAATGTCAAAGAAAACAGCACAATTGAAGTGAACCGAAGGGTATAATGACAAAATTATAGTATATCATTTGGACCAATCGATGTTTTACCACCTGTCAAATCATGAAACATGAACAAAATCATAAATCCTCTATCTAATGGTAATTATATCTTTAAACCGAGCCACATATTAGAACTTCAATTCAGTGGCACTTAGGCACTAGCACAAGTACAGGAGAATCTACATAGCATATAGCAATATGTTTTCCAAACTATAGACCAACATTAGACAATAAACAGAGGCCTATTTTTGTTTTTTTCTGTTAACCGAGAAATTCCCAGAAGGCTAGCAGCGAATGGTTAACTCAGTGGATAATGAGTCGCCCCTCTACCCTTCCCCACTTAATTACCAAACTTTTATCACTGTTAAAGTTCGAACCGTGACATGCACCTAACACCACACATCAAGTGTTGCGCAGTTACCACTAGACCAAAGCCCTGGGGGATAAACAGAAGACTATCTAAAAGCTAATAAAAAGATAACGTAATTCCAATTCAGAAGAAACGAAGTTGTTGCAATCACAATCATATAAAATCTAACAGAACTATCTTCCATTTTATATTCTCTTGATCTCCATTTCCCAAAATGTACACCAAAATTTACTAGAATAATATTTTCACTTCTAAGTCCAGATATATGTAACAATATAAGTAAATATATCAAAAATTAACTGAGCTGCTTGTTTATCGTTTCAATCTAGAAAACCTGTTTGGCGAAAAACAGCATTTCGAACTTGACGAAGGTCTCTCCCTTTGAGTGTTCTTCCGACGCCTTCGAGCACCGAAAACGTGGTTTTAGGTGATCTAGAGGATCCTCCTCCCGCTACGATCTCATGAGGCGGAAGCATCTCATCGTAGCCGCCCTCATCGTCATCGATTTCCACGTCAGCAAGCTCGCCGTTTCTCGGCGTCGCCTTCTTCGGCATCATCGGAACGTTCACTGGAGCCGAGTGTTGGAACTTCCTCGCCGGCATCGTTTGTGAATAGTTATTACGGTTATAGCTATTTTCTCTGTCCAATGGTGGCTTCGGAATCGTCGGAAAAGCTCGCAAAGACGGCATCGGCGAAGACGAAATCGGCGACGAAGGTGAGGAAGTTATCGAACGTTTCCGATAAACAACCGGACGGTTAAGTTTCCGGTAATCCTCAGGCAATGCAGCGAGAATACCGAATTTCTCCGGCTGACGGAAGGTTTGCCGACGGAAACTGTTTGAAGAAGCAGGGGAAGTAGATCTGCGCTGAGGTTCAGTGAAGTCTCCGGTCCAGAAAACATCATCTTCGTTAAGCTCATCGCCGGCGATAGTACTATCAGTCTGCGGTGGAGAGAATACGCCGAGAAATCGATCGGAGGACGGCGAACGACGGTGGCGAAAAGCTACGACACCGTTTTGGTCCATCGAGCGTCGTCACTCCACTTCCCACTTCCGTTTTTTGCGTATGAATGAAAGAAACCTCTCTAGATGTTCTCGTTTTAAAAGCACACAACCACTTCACTCCGTGGGATCCTTGTCACTCATAGTTGGACCTACTTGAGACTACAATCTAGCAGGTCCCACTTATATTTAACGTTTGCAATTGACCTGCAAGATAAACAACAAAGAAGAATGTATAATTTATTCCGGCCCTAAGTAAGTCACTCTCCCTACAAGTTATAAGTTATCCCGATATCAATTTTAATTTCGAAATAATTTATATCATATTTGCTAATCAAATAAAGTATTAAGGTAAGTATTAAATTTTTAGGAGAAGATCCAAATATACCTCTATACTTTCGAAAATAGTCTAAGTATACCCCTCGTTATACTATTGGGTTATTTATACCCCTACAGTCATACTTTGGGTTCAAATATACCTCTCAATTAAACGGAGGGACACGTATCATCGACTTATTGGCCAATTCTAAATATCTCCTAATTAATTAAAAATACTCATTATCCATACCAGAAAAACAATTTTATTAAGTAATTTTTTTTGTAAAAACTGAAAAAAAATTATTTTTTTAACTAAAATCTGAAAAAAAAACGAAAATATTTTTTTTTCATTTTTTACAAAAAATTCCGCTTCAAAAGAAACTGAAAAATATTTTTTAAAATAATATTTTTGTAAAAACTGGATAACAAAACTGAAAAATAATTTTCTAAAATAATTAAAAACTGAAAAAACTGATTTTTTTAACTAAAAACTGAAAAAAAGAAAATATTTGTTTTTTCAGTTTTTACAAAATATTGCTTTAGAAAATTGTTTTAAAAGTTTTACAAAAAAATTGCTTTAGAAATTATTTTCAGTTTTTTTTAAAGCAATGTTTTTCTAAAAACTGGAAAAAATATTTTCAATTTTTTCAGTTTTTAGTAAAAAAAATCAGTTTTTTCCCTTTTTTAATTGCTTTAGAAAATTATTTTTCAGTTTTTATAAAAACATTGTTTTAGAAAGTTTTTTTCAGTTTTTTTTAAAGCAGATTTTTTTGTAAAAAATGAAAAAAAAATATTTTCTTTTTTTCAGTTTTTAGTAAAAAAACAATCAGTTTTTTCCAGTTTTTACAAAAAAAAAATTGCTTTATAAAATTATTTTTCGGGTATGAATA